TTATTTTTTGTAGGTTTAGCTAAAGTTAGTTCATAAGTCTCGAAAGATCCAACTAACTCTTTCACCTTAATGGCATTTATGTCCTTACTCTCCTCTATAGTCATAATTTTAGGCCTAAGTCTCTTGAGTAAGTATCTAAAGATTTTTCTAATTATCTTAGGTTTAGGAATTCTCTTACCTTGGTTGAAGTTATAATTAACCATGTCATTCAAACTCGCATAGAAGTCATCAAAGGTCTCATCATCCTTTATCCCAATCTCTTCAAACCTAGTGATTAACATTGTAATTTAGAGTTTTTAAGAGCTTGAGTTTCCTCATGTGTGGTTTGTAAAATATCTCAATTTTTTTTCCAACCTCACACAGACACTGGACAAGGCCATAAGTAAAGCATGTAGGGCTTTACTATTCCAATTGCACTCATATAAATTAGATTTCGACCAATTAACAGTAGGAATGAGGGTGATGACACCATTAACAGTATTGGAAGGGACAGTCCAACCATTTACTATGCTTAACCAAATACGTTCATCCATCGACTTAAGAAAATCTCTCATTCTAACCTTCCAATAGACGTAAATGCTGCCGTCAAAATAAGGAGGAATGGAATGACTGACTATTTAGACTAATATGGTCAGTGATCAAATTTAGGCTTTGATACAGCTTAAACGTTACTAGTTCGACTTGAAGGTTCTATTTAACCAATTTATTTTGACCCAATGTGCGAAATTGTATTATTAAAAGCAACAAGTCATTTTTAATTATTTCTAGATGGATAATCAAATCATTCAAATTATCATATGTTGCACTGCCACAGTTTGTAATATTAAAGCAATAAATAATATAAGAATTGTTGACAGAGAAACCCAACTAGGTAAAAACATTAATATCACCAAACGTAAAAAACTCAATGAAGCTATGCATTAGGATATGAATATGCCATGATTGAAAAATACAATTATCTTCCCTCCTTACAATCATCTCTTGCCCTTACTGCAAGTTCTCTAAAAAATGCAATCATTTTCTCTTCTTTTTTGTCACAAATGACGAAGGGAACTATATCAAATACAATTGAACATTAAAATATAATAACTCAAAGATGCAATTGAAAGTATGCAGAAGCATAATCAATGTTCAGTAAACTTTTCCATATGCTCTTTTCAAGTTAAAATGAAGTAACTTGTATCAGTGACACATTTAAAGTATCACTAATCTTTTGTAAGCAGGATTTCAAACCTTAGTTTTGTGAGAAACAACATGCAAAATATCATTGTCAATAAGTTTTTTCCTCTACTTATGGAAGTCAAACTGATATAAGCATATAAGAACTTGTAAAAGAAGCTCATTTTGCATGTATATTATTCCTTTATTTTCTTGACTTTTAGCATAGATATTATTACACAATGTCAATATTTTCAAGCTCATCATTTATTTTTTCAAAATTTTTTACATCTTATGTGCAGGCTATTTTCTATTAAACGACTAAGATGACCCTTGTAGTAAACTTTAAGTCTTATAATCCAAATCAGTTAATCATAGGCACCAGGTTACGAGAACCCCTAAGGTTTAGTTGTTCAAGTCAAATATGCTCTGAAGAGGAGCATAAGATATTGAGCTTTATCTTTCAAGGGAATATACTTGAACTTAGGTCTACTAAAATAAGGTCAGTTCATGTTCAATGGCACTTTACCAACATTTAACTAATCTCACACACGCGGTTAAGTCTACTAAAATAAGGTCAGTTCATGTTCAATAGCACTTTACCAACATTTAACTAACATCCCAAATCTTACACACACGATTAAGTACCATTCACAATATCATAGTGTGTTCAATGCTGATGGTACATGAAGAAACATATACTAAGTACTCCATAAAATCCCGAACAAAGTAACGAAAAATACACTATAAAAGCAAGCTGTAACGAATAAGAATCCTGTAGTCGATTCCACATTAGTTAAACTCATTTTTAGTCGCAACACAGACTTCCAAGTTTATCATATGTAGTGCTGTAGTTAAAAAATAATTTTCCCCACCCCATTTTTTTTATTTTTTATTGTATTTTTTTTTTTTTGTAAAACATGAATGTACCAATCACACAAAATAAAAAATTCAACACAAAACAAACAAAATATGCATGTGCCAATACAAACTTGATAATAATGCACATACATGAATCTACAACCTAAAAAGCAAATAAACAAATGAGATGCATGTAGTAATGAATATATTGCAATGAATAAGCACAACACATGCATCAAAGATACCTAATCAGTTAGATATACAAACACTCTTATCTTTAAGAGTATTGCGATCTATTTTAAGATTTTTCAGGTCACTCTTCTTCACTCAAACTTGCCTAGTGGAAGAAATAATCCTAATCAACTGTGTTATTAACTCGGTCAATTGACTCACTTTATTAGTAAGGAAGTCAATCCGATTATCAAAAAACTGAATTTTACTTCTATTGAAATTCAGATTTCTATTTTTGTTCAGGAATTTATGACACCTAAGCCTTATATGTCATACCTCTCCACAACTGAAATAGGTAGGGATAAATTTAGGACTAAGATTATGTGGTTGTTGATTTCTATTCCTAGGTTGGTAGGTCCTACGCTGTCTAGTAGGCCTCTGTCTTACAATTCCTTTATTCTTGGGTTTAGGGTTAGAAATATACTTAAGCTAGTTGGTGGCAAGGACAAAAATGGTCTACGAAGTATTAGTAGCATCGTGATCATTCTCCTTATATCCTAAACCTCCTTTATTACCAGTAGGCTTGTGCATTCCAAAGACGCTATCAAGCTTTACTGAACCACTGAAGAACGTAAGGAATTGGGTGTTGGAATCCTCAAGATTGCTCATCAAATTCTCAACATGGGTATTTAAATATTCATTCACAAAGTTCAACTTACTCTGGGATAAAGTAGATTCCAGAAGGTCAACTAAAAGTTTTTCTTTTCCTAACTCAAGATCTTTGACTTTCGTACACAAGGCTTTATTTGTAGTCAAAATCTTATGGCTTTCTTCATATAGTTGATTATAAACCTCATATATGTCTTCCTCATCTTCGAAATTCTCCTTATCAGATTCACTCCTAATCCTAGCAGTGAAGGCCATATATTTCTTGTTCTAATCTTAGCAGTGAAGGCCATATATTTCCCGTTCATTATTATAAGCGACGATGTTATGCGCAAAACCTTAGTTTACATTTTTCAAGAGTTTTAATTGGCGAACGACAATGTTATTATTTTTTTCACTCCAGCATTAGATGAGTGATAGGCTAGCGTAAATCCAACGGCTCTTTTCTTCTTGTTCCAAACTTGAACCCTAAGTTGCCTATTTCATCTATATAACCTTTCAATTGACTCCTTGACTTTTACAACTTTTCATATTAGTTCATTTGTCTAAAAAATTGTCAATGCAATATAAATCCTAACAATAACAAAATTTGGCGAGTGATGGATGAGGCGCAACAGCTAAAAGTTCAGTGACCATTTAGAGGACATTTCAAGTTTTTATGAGTAAGTCATGACCATGTTAAAATTCAAACGTTAAGTACTCCAATGACCATCTAACTTGAGACTCAGTGTCATTATGACCACCTAATTTGATTTTGTTTCAGAATGACCACCCAACTTTATAATTGGTGTCACCATGACCATCCAATTTGATTTCACCATGACCGCCTAATTTTATATAAAGTTTCGCCATAGTCACATAACTTCTTTTTACCATTTTTGTTAATTTTAAAATGGATATTAAGTAATTCAATTGCCTATAATTTATTTGGATGGAAATTATCAATTAAAGGGGATGTATTCAATTGAAACTTTTAATGACTTTTTGGGATTTAAAAAGTTTAGGGATATTCAATTGAAACTTTTTGAGATTTTCTAAAAGTCACGGTGTATTCAATTAAAAATTTTATAGGCTTTTAAAAAAGCTCTAAAAATTACGTTGTATTCAATTAAAATTTTTTAGAAGTCTTTATAAATTTTGGAGTATTCAAATTTTAATAACTTCTAGAAACTTTTATAAAAGTCTCTAGAGTACTAACTTTTAAGCAGAAAGTACTCATATAATATCTTAAAATTTGTCTCTCATTAATCACGAGATTTTGGGAGACTTTCACAAAAAAAAAGAAGATAAAAAAACCTTTTTTTCCAATCTTTTTTTCCTTTAACCTTCTATGGACGTGTTAAAAGTTATTTTTTTCTATTTATTATATTTCATTTAGTTTTCTTTCTCTCTCTTATCATTTATTACTATTTTCTATAAAAAATTAAATTGGATTCTTATAACATTTTTTTCTTTTTTAATTATTAATTATTTAATTAAGGTCTTAAAATTTTATTTTTTCAATTTTTTTTAATTATATGGAAAGAAGAAGGAGAAGGAAAATGAGAATTATGGGAATAAACACCTCGTATATGATAATTTCATACCAAATTCTTGTGAATTCTATTTCAAATGAAAATCTTCAAAAGTATTTTAAAATCAACAAAAGTCTACAAAATTTTTAAAATGAAAATCCATAAAAATCTACGAAAGACTTCCACTAATTCCATATAAATTTTTAAAAGATCTACAAAATCGACAAAAGTCATCACTTAAAAAAATTCATCAAAGTTTTCAAAAGTTCCGATTAAATACACCCCCTAAATGTGTTTGATTGATTTAATTCTTAATCTATAAAATATTATACTTATCCATTTTTTATTGATAGATAGATGAGAGAGAGTACATAAATGAGAGAGTAAAAGATAGAGTGAATTCTCTGGAAAATAAAATCCCGCACCTTCTAAATTTTTTCTTTGATTTTGAGAAAAATATGATCACGTGATCAAAAGTAAAAAAATATTTTCTGTAGAAGAAATGAAAATCAAACATCACAAAAATATAAATTTTGGTGAAAAAACACATTTTTCATGATTGATCGGTGAATTTAATCCTAATATTCAGTGATAAACATTTTACCCCTCAAAGTTGATAAAACACCCAAAATCGATCGCTCGTGAACACCTAAAGCCCATAATTTAAACAACATACGTCAAAACTCCCAGCCCTAGAAGTTTCAAATCGACTTTTGTGGATACAGCTGAAAGTTGATCCCGCGAGTTGGATCGCTGAGTTCTAGGGATTTTCGGACGGCACAACTCGGCACCGGCGGATTATCGGAAATGGCGGACGATGAATTACCACCGCCAATTAGGTTGATGAACTTCGTTTCCGAAGAACAGGTCTCTCGAAATTCTCACTGTTATTGTGAATAATTCTAATGATTAAAAGGGGATTCTTCTTACCATTTAGGAGGACTGAAATTAGTGCTTTCTACTTCTTTCTTTTTGTTTTTTCAAATATTGAAATGAACAAATGAGGAATTACAGTTGGAAGAATCTCGGAGAACTAGGGGTGCTCGAGTCGAGGACGGTACTGCCCAGAGAGATAGGTCCCTTTACGAGGTCATATTTTTCCACTCTTTATTTATTGCCATAATATCAGTATTTTCTTTCATATATTGTAATTACTACTCTTTTACTGTGGATTGACACACCTCAGAAGTTATTTAAGTTTACTGTTCTTTGAGAATTTCAGATTTTAAAGGAAAACAAGGACAAGAAAGATTCAGAATTCAATGAACGTTTCAAGCACAGTAAGTTCTCAACTTATATGTGGAATATATGTTACTTCGTTATTTGAATTGTTCTGAAAACAAATTTTTGCACATGGTGATATTGTTTGTTGAAATTTTTATATATGTGGGTTTAACATCACAATGCTAAATCATGTTCTGCCAACATGAGATGTTTGTTTAGTTCTTATTTAATCTGTTGATGTTGCTTCTATCTCCCAAAGTTCCTAACTTTGACTTTTAAAACAAAGAATTGTATCCTTTTGTCTTGCAGGGCCACCAAAAGCTTTGGATGAGGATGAAACCGAGTTTCTTGAGAAACTAGAGATGGTAAGCCTCTCTCTCATGTATTTATTCATATACTCGATAGAATTAGCCAGTTAAGGTTGTAAATTACTTGCATGATACCAGCTTTTATTCATGTTTCCTCGTTGTGAATCTCCATTATGTTGGAATAATACAGATTAGATATCCATCTATGCCAACACTGTACTTTAGGTGTTGATTATATTTTGACCATTTGGACTTCGGAGTTTATCAATAGAATCAACTAAGCCTTACCCAATGGATATTTGTTTTCTTGTTGATATCTTAAAATTCTTTTAATTAAAATGTATAATGCTCCAGTCCTGAATTTTTAATCCCTTGGCTGGACTTCTGTTTTCAATTTGGCAAATGTTTGGTGCATAATTTTCATCTAAATTTAACTATAGAGAAAGAACCTATAAATTCATTAAACTCAAATCAAGTTACAGTTTTTTGAAAACTTATCTTGATTAAAAATCTTAATAAGCGGATATCAGTTTCCCTAAAGAAATCATTAGATTGATCGCCGAACCTAAGCCAAGAGGTTGAATGTGTGACAGACAGTAGTAATTAATCTTCCATCTCGTCTTCTTACTGTTAACAATTATGGTCTTTTCAAGGTTCAAATTAGAAAGTCAATGGAGCATATTTTGTTAACCTTTAGTTTATTATTTCCATATCTATCTGTTCTGGAAAATGAGATTTCTTTTAGATTTTCTATGGAGTTATATATTAGTGTGAGCGAATGTGTCCATTTATTTAAATTTCAATACCAAGCTACTAGTTATTTGTAGATATAAGAGTGAAGCATTGGGATTCACGTGGACTTCAAATTACAAATGCAATTTATCAAGTCACAGAACCCATTGAGTTTATGCAATATTTATTTTGACATTTTATACTGATTTAGTCAAAGAGAGAATATGAACGTCAAATGGCAGATGAAGAAGAGCAGCAGCTCCAACTTTTTCAAGTAAGTTTCTAATCGTTTTTCCTATGTTTGCTTGATATTAATTTGCTATATGCCTATACCACATATTTTTATTTTATTGCAATGTTGGTTTTAAGGCTGCAGTAACAGCACAATCTACGACAGTGCACGAGGTAAAGGAGGCACCTTTAATTCCTAAAGTTCAGGTATTTTGATATGTTATTGGCACTTACTTTTCTCATATGTCGCATTATTTTCTTTGACTGCCCCTATTTATTGTGTGGTGTGGGTGTGGGGGAAGGAGTTCTGGAAATGAAAATGTTACTATGGCTTGTTTAACGAGGATATTGTTTTTAGATTCTTTTGGCTGACTCAATCACTGTACCAGTTGTCTATATTTCTTATTACAAAATAATAGTCATCATATATAAATTAGTTGTACTTATCAAAGCTAGCACTAAAAGGGGTTATTTTCGTATCGAATTTCTGTACCATTTACAATGTGTGTTTTTGGAGATGTTTGTAGTGTGCATTAGTTGATGAAGATCAAAGTACTGAATACCCGTTACTGTGCTCTCTGTTCTTTCTCTTGGATGTGTTAGCTTTGATATTATTATTATTTTTTTTTCCTGTTTGGAAACTGAACATACTACATCTTTGTTGAGTTAGTGCTAATGAAATGAAGATAGTTCAGAGGCTTGTGCTAAGTTTTCAGCAGATGAAAGACTCCTTGATGTAGAAGTGTATAATTTGACAAGAAGAAGAGACAGGAGGGGTGCAACAAAGAGAATAATTGTGGACGAAGAAAATCAATTTTTTCCCTATATATTAGGGGTTATAAATTACAATGATTAAGCCCTTTATTTATATAAGCAACTAAGCCCCTGTTTGAGCCCCATTTTGGTATGAAAATGTATTTTAGAAAAATGATTTTTTTTTGGAGAATGTATGGTTAAAAAAAGAATAAAAATTTTTGGTTTACATGTAAAATTATTTTATAGTAGAATGTGAATGAAATAAGTTTGGAAAAATGAGTTTTTGAAAAAATGGGGGTAAAGCATATGTTGAATGAAACTAAAATCAAATGAACTAATAAACTAGAATTTTATTGAGATATTAAATATAATGTAATTAAATATGTTTTGAATTAATCTTTTATTATAAAATTTGAACTAATGTCTAATTCTATTATATTTTTAATAGAACCTCCATCTTTTCTCTTCAGCTGAGAGAACTCGATTTTGGCAAGGAAGATTAGAACTTCATACTTCAAGAAGGTCGATCTTTTGTTTTGATCAAGTGTTTATACTGAACCTTGGACATCATTAGGATGAACTTATACAAGGGAGGATCCCTATGAATCAAATAACAAAATTGATAATTTGTCGACTATAGCTGCAGATCATGACAAAAATATGATCTGATTTAGGGGGATAATCTCTCCTAATCAAGTATTGACATGTAGCTCCAAAAAGTAAAATTCATGCTACTCATCCACAAAATCTTCACTTGTTTGTGCATAATGAGGAGCACGAGAAACTAGTACTATAGATTGATATGCCAAAAGAAAAAAGAAAAAAGAAAAGAGAAAAATGATTGCTACATCAAAGGCTTGAATGGGCCTCAATAAGAAATTATTTATATATTGAAATTATAACTTTCAATCAAGTGTTATGACGAGTCAAATAGATTATCTTTATGTGAATGATCAAAAACTCTTTTCTTAACGTGATTAGGAAATCGAGTCAGGGAGACACGCAATAAAGAATAATAATCACCATTGAAGTCTCCAATCTATTTTGCACACAAAAAATAAGCAAATAAGTTTTCATGATGGAAAATAAATTTCCTTTTAAACTTGACATGGAATTTATGAATTTTGATGATCAAACGAGGAGCCAAAGCAAGATGTCGATAATTTGTAGACAACATCCCAATTTCAGTAGAAAAAGTGTACATGCAGATAATGACCTTAGAAGAATCTTTGGATAACGTCACAACAAATTCAACTTTAAAAGCACACACATTTGGGTTGGGCCTGGGGATTGGTTTTGGAGATTGGGCTATCGGTGAAGTATTAATTGGGTTTTTTGATTTTATTATTGTTTGGAATTGAGCTTAAACGGATTGATGTGGGTGGATTTATTGGCAGTGGGCCAAGAATTTGTGTGGATTTGGGCTAAACTTTTATTTGGATAGGTTAATGGGTTATGGTATGGGATTGGGGTTTTGGGCTTGGCTTACAATTTTTGGTGTTGTGATTGGGCTTTTAAGAATGGAATAAAAGTTTGGGTATAGTGGATTGTAATGGAAGTTGTGAAATGTTGCAAATTTCCTCTGTAGCAAAAAGACACAATAAAATCTTTTTTTTTAGGACCTGATTGTTGTGCTCTTCTTCTTACTTCTTTTTTTTTTTTTTTTTTTTAAAACTAATCTAAACTACTAAAATGAAGGGAGTTGCTTGTTATAGTCCAAAGTGGAATGACTTGAAGTTTGACATGATTCAGGAATGCCATTGTATAAGATGGGAAAATGAGGTAGACCGATGACAAATTAGGTACGAGCTTCGGCATTATACAGTGATGTTGGGAATTTGGCGGGGAATGACTTACATCCTCCCAAGTGTGATCGTAAAAAATAGCACAGGCGGGCGCTTGGGCAAGACTTAAATGCCTACAACATGGGACATAGGCAAGGAAAATAGAGGCATGCTATGCAGGCATTGCGGTAGGGAAAGCAAGCAGGTAGTGCTGGCACAACGTAGGTAAGCAGTGATTGAAAATGCAAGCAGGCTGCTTAGGTAGGGATAACGCAAGCAGGGGATGCAAGCACGAAAATTAGGTTTTTCTAAGTCAAAACCATCGTTTAGAGGAGGATAAATACTCTGGACTTCTGTAAGTTGTTTTGGACACAAGTGGGTGCTAACTTGTGCAACTTAGATAAAGAAGCCAAATCTAACTTGACTACTACTTGATCAAAGGAGGAAATAAAGTTTAAAGTGGATATTACTTCTTCGAAGGGATATGCCAACTAGCATATAGTTGGAAAGTGAAATGTAACTTGTACAAAAGTTGTAGAGACATGCAACTTGCATGATAACAAATATCAATTTGACTGCAACTTGGACAAAGGAGGTTAGTTGCAACTTGCATAAAGTGGCATGTACTTTGCAATCAATGATGGCCCTTGGATCAATTAAATCTTAGTCATCGATCCGAACTTGCTTTCCAAGATTCTGCTTATAAATAGAGGTGTTGGTTCATTCGTAAATTAGATAAAATGGAATAATAGCTTATAGAGAGAAAATACTTGAGAGATTGTAAATGATTTTTCCTTCCACTTATATAAGGAGATTTTTCCCAAATTTATGTCTTTTCCTCTCTACTCAAAGTTAACATAATTTTGCCTTGTAGAAAATTTTTGTGGTTGTTGAAAGGTGGACTTATCTCATGGGGACGGGATTTATGTAACTTTAAGGCAGCACGGTAATAGTTTATTCGGGAGTAACGAAGCACGTGATAAGTGGTACCAGAGCAAGTCTACTCCGAACTTTATGTTGCTGGTTACCTAAGGTTGATGGTGTGCATTCTTGCGGAAATGATTTTGGGACCCCAAACATGTGGCAAAGCAATAGGCAATCAAGTGGAATCGAGGATGGAAAGCTTTGAGGATAATGGAAGAAGGGGCATGCATTATGCAGTTTTGTTATTACACGTATTGTAGAGCGTGACAGTTGCAAAAGAAATCAAATATGGGGGCTTTTGTGTTAAATGCTTCAACATGCATGGTAGCGTTGCGGCCAGAAGAGCCGTCAATCCAAGGAACCAATGCAGAGGTGCACAAGGTGAATGCTGGTGTCGAATGTGGCATGTAAAGGTTACTGCAGGAAGAGGTGCAGGGGCACTGTGGACGCCAGCACATTAGGGGGATGGTGCCACAATTGTGGAGAATTTTTGGACTATTGGCATGGAGACTACAATGCTGAAAAAGTGTGAAGAGGTGAAGCATACGTTTCACTACGAGGGTAGTGGTGGATTGAGTGGGGAGTGATATAGAGAGCTCTCCTACTTATGTGGCATGGCAAAATTGCTTATTATGGGTTTAATGCTAAATTATTGGTAGTGCATTAATGATTTCCTTTGTATAGGCACGAATGCAAGCTGCCCACCTCCTTATATTGTGTTTATGTTGCATATCTTAGTATGTCAGCCCACGTGTGGGGAAGGCCGTTTTGAGGATTGTCGACCTCAAAGGTCGAACGGGCGGTTCGTTACGACTTATCATGAGCTTATTTTCGTTACTCCCAAACAAACTAAAATCGTGCGTTCTTAATGTTCCACAGATCTCGCCCCTCAATATAAAACGCCCACGAGAATTTAATCTATGCGACTAAATTATGTTAATTTTGAGTAGAACAAGTAGATAAGAAATTATATTGAAAGGAACATATATAATTTGGGAAAATCTCCTTGTTTAAATGGAAGGGAAAACTATTTATAATCTCTTATGTATTTTCTCTATAAGTTATTACTCCATTCCTCCATGTGATTTACAAATGAACCAACACCTGTATTTATAGGCTAATTCTTGGAAAGTAAGTTGGTATAGAAACTAAGATTTAATTGATCCAAGGGCTATAATTGTTTGCAAGTTGATGTCACCTTTATACAATTTGTAACTAACCTTCCTTTGTGCAAGGGATAGCCAAGTTTATATTCGCTATCTTACAAGTTGCATGTTTTTATAACTCTTGTACAAGTTGCATGTCATTTTTCAATTCCGTGCTAATTGGCTTGTCCATTTGTAGAAGTAGCATCCAAGTTCAACTTTGTTTCGTCCTTTGACCAAGTTGTAGTTAAGTTATGTTTGATTTCTTAATGTAAGTTGCACAAGTTGGTACCCATTTGCATCCAAAACAACTGCCTGTAGTCTACGGTATTTATCCTCCATAAAATATGGTTTTTAAATTAAAAAACTAATTTTCGTGCCTGTGTACCCGTACTTGCGTTTTCCCTACCTGCGTCTCGTGAGCAGTGCTTGCACAGTGTGTCGTCGATTTCCTTGCCAACTCTTCTGTAGTAGTGCCTGCACAGCGTGCTTGTCTTCCTTGTTTGTTTCCCATGCAGTAGGCCATTACGTCGTGTTGAAGCACCCCGCCTGCGCTAATTTTTATGGTCACTGCTTGGATGCTACGACCCTAAACTGGATGTAAGTCATTCCCTCGCTAAATTAGGCGACGCCTTCATTGCTGTATAATGTCGAAGTTTGGACCTAATTTGCCATTGGTCTACCTCATTTTCCCATCTATTATCGTGGCACTTTCCAATCACGTCAAACCTTAGTGTTAATGGGCACGAACATTCTCCATAATCGCAACTTCATTACCTTGATGGACGAGAGTCTACAATGCCCTCTCCACCTCTTCTCGTTGGAACCTTTTACATGTTGACTTTGGTACCAACCTTCACCCTCTGCACCATTCCTCGGATGGATGGCCCGTGTGATCATAGTGTCACCACGCATATTGAAGCATTCAACACAAATGTCCCCACTTCTTATTTCCTTGACAATGCTTTATTAACTTCCCTCCTAGGTAGCAATTTCCTTGATAACTCCGCGAGTATCATGTCCTTATTATCCATAAGGACTTTCCTACTTTCAGCTGGCAAAGCTGCATCATCGGTTGTAACTTTGGTGTGAAACCAAATGCTTAGATGTTGGTTCTTCTTTTTTCTAGCCTTCGTTTAATTGCATTACTGAAATCTCTCTCGCTTCCATCTCCAAGGAAATGGTATGGACCATATATGAAGATTCCTTCTCCAAAATGCAAACTAACCCAAATGAAGGCATGGGAATTGCATTTGCTTTCCTTAAGAAATCTAGGCCCAACACTAGCCTGAAGTCATCCATTGGTGCTACCGAAAGATCAACGGCTCCATGCCACGAACCTAGCTGCAGTTCTGCTTTATGAACTATGTGGGCTAACAACTTTACGGTCGCATTCACTATTTTCAGCAATCCACCCACGGTGAACGTTCAATCAGAGCCTCTTTGCTTCATCCTCCCTGATGAAGTTATTGTGGCTTTGGTATCAACAAGTACATGTGTCTACCATCCATTTGCTTGGGCCTGTACATACATCGTCCCTTCTCTCCGTTCGCCCTCGGAATGGTTTTGGCATGCAATGTGTTGAATAGCTACAATGAACCAATCTAACTCGCACCTGAGTTTTGGCTATTAAAGGCTTTCTGTTGTGTCTCCGAGATGGACAATTTAGGGTAGTCTCACATGAGATGTGGTCCTTCGCAAATAAAGCAGCCACGAGGTGTAAAATTGCCTCTCTTCTCCCTTCGCCAAGAAGCTAGTTTGTTGCTTCTCGGTCTATAATCAACTTTTTGACTTGGCGTCCAATCTGGCTTACTCCGTTGCTTGTCCTTACGTCTTCCCGACTTTTGCTAAAATTCCCTTTGGTGGGTTTGAAGGTTTTAACTTGATTTATGTACTTCTCTCAAACTCAGTCAATGGTTTAGCAATTGCAATTGCAATTGCTTCATCCATGGTTTTGATTCCGCGACGCTACAATTCTTATCGTACCCAACTTGCACAACCATCTAGGAAGTAACACAAGACATCATCGGCATGCTTTGGATTTGAAGCATGGGTCATGAATTCTTTGACATATTCACGGATTGTCCTTGTATGCTTCAACTCCCTCAGTTTCTTACGGGTCTCATACACCACGTTCTTCGTGTAAAGCTGTCTCTTTAGCTCTTTTTTGTATTCGGGCCCATGTTTCAACTTTGCAAGCTTCCTTTTCCATTTAGACATGCTTTCGGCTCCACCAAAGAGAAGCAGTGTCGGAAAGATGCATGGAGCGGTTCGTACCTTCATTGCCTTATCAACAATATATATACCATCAAAGCATACTTCCATTTGCCATAGGATGTTTTTGACATCCTTTGCATTCCTTCGGCCATTATAGTCCTTAGGCTTCGAGTACTCAATCCTCGAGCAGCAACACAAGTAGTGCACCTCCGCTAGTACCAGCAGTGGATTGTTTGTATTGTTTGAGTTCCTTGCTCATTTTCTTCATCACCACAGTCAACTAGTTCACCTGTCCTTGCATGACAATAACTGTATCAATGACTTTACCTTGGAGATGGGCAAAATCTTCACCCAAGGTGGCCTGTTTGACTACCACAGCCTAGACATCATCCTTTACTGCCTGGACATCGCCCCTCAATGATGCTTGATCATCATCACCTTTCGGACGTTATTTTGGTAAGTTTCTTATTTTTCAATGGCGTGGCCCTCCGACGCCTCAGAGGAGTGCTCTAGAGATTCTACTTGATTATCCATATTTGTGATGATTTGGCCGAGTTTCCCCTCCATGGAAAAAGCTTCTGGTGCTTTGCTCTTACTTCGCGTCCTCTTTTCTTCTACAGGGGCAGGGCCACGACCCCTTTCCTCTACCTTAATTCTAACAGTACCTTGAAATTCTGCCATTTGAGCACCTCACTTGACTTTAGGATTTGAGCACCTCACCCAACCCTGAACCTCAGTTGAACCTGGCTACCTCAGCCTAATCTTTGCTCTGATACCATGTGTAATAGATTTCTCGTTCGGCCCTCGAGGTTCCCAATATTCCCCAAGGCAGCCTTCCCCACACATGGGCTGGCAGGCTAAGATATGCAACATAAACACTATATAAGGGGGGTTTGGAATAGTGGATTATGCCTTGAAGAAAAAATCTTGGCATATGACGGGCTTTGCAGGAGTAAGTGAAATATCGGCTATGAAATTAAGGTGGATGACTAGGGGGAGAATTTCTTCAATATGGACGAGTAAAAGTAGACTCCATGCTTCAGCAACTGTAGCCTGAGATAGAAAAAAGTAATGTGGTTTGAGGAAGATGAAGTAAATGGTTGGTTGAAAGTTATCTTAAATGTTAGTGTACCAAATACTAATTACTGGGAATAGTAAAGAAAAGTTGGGGATGTTGTTGGAAGGCCTTGAAAAAGGAGTGAATGAGAAAAACAATAGGGAGAAAGAAGGAAAGAAAAACAGTAATGGAAGCCTAACGGCCAAGTAATTATAATGGTGATCAGAGTCCATGAAAATGAGAAGTGCTACATGAGACATGGAACTTATAGTTTATTCAAGTGCCCAAGTAGGGGAAATTAAGGTTTTCTGCGTGTAGTTGGCTGCAAATGCGTTTGGTGTTGTTTTCTTTTGTATGTTGTTTTGGCAGAAGGATTAGTTTTTGGGAGTGATTAGTTCTGTTGTTGTTATACTACTAAATGTCTTTATAATATACATGGTACGTTGGAGGTCATTCCTTTTGGCACAGATGACGCAAGAAAAATATTGGAAAATTTAGGGACTATCTTTCTTGAGTGAAATCAAATATTGGAAATTGATCACCAGGTGTCATTAATTAATATAATTTATTCTTATTGGACACCTGTTCTGTGTTCAATATGTAGAAATTTCAAGAAATGCCGAGACTACTGTAGTTATGAAGATTCTTGTCCCTTAAGGTTGCAAATGATTACATCGAGAATCATTGTACATGCCTCTTTTGGAGTAGATAATTGGGGGGTGGGTAGTTGTGGGGGGAATCAAAGGCCTCATTAAACTCATTCCAAAGGCAAAAAAAGATATATTTGGTTAAACCATATAAGCTTGATCTGCAATGATTATTTATGATGTAATGATCACACAAATTCGAATGCTAATTGTCGAAATTCCGGCCAAGAATGCATATTAATCTGTCACCCACAAAAAGCTTAGATAACTAGCATGCCTAAAGTCATTCCAAAATGTGGATATATAGTGCTTTTAATAGCATTATCTGGTTTTGTGGTGTAACTTGATTCTCTTGAGAAAGATGGTTCTGGATAAGAAATTTATGCTTTCTATGAAGTCTCACATCCTTTGCCTACTGGATTTATTTTTCGGACAAGATGTTGAAGGTTCCATTGCTTGTTTTTAATGTGTTTTGTGAGTATTGGTAAATGTAAAATTGTGCTTTGTTACTTCGAGTTCCTCTTTATGCAGGATCAAAGATCAGTTGGAATGAAGAACCCCCCATCTCGTCCATTGGGCATTGTAATCAAAGTCAAGCCACAAGCGAAGAAAGCAAAAATAGATCCTGCAAATCCAAAAGAACCTTTAAATGCAGCCAGTATGCCTAATGTTGACACAGAAGAGCCGTTGGAATCTGCAAATTTACCTAGTATTGATACTAAAGAATCTGTAAGCACATTGAAAATGAAAAATGGAGATAGTAACGTGTCTGGTGGTTTAGTTTCATATAGTGATGAAAGTGAAGATTACGACTAATCCTGTTGACTGCGGCATTTATTTAGCTGTGATAATATATAATGAATTTCGTTGGCTTGCTCGTATTTTAATAATATGCAGAAATTACAATAGACCGGCAACAGTGGTCGAGATAATGTTGACGTTGAATCATGTAGCAGTCTTTTGATCAATTTTGGGCATGTGCGCGCCATAGATCTGTGAAAAAGGAGCTCGTTCAGTCAAATGGCCATCAAAGTGAGGTGGGATATTGTTGTTGAAGGAATTTCACTGCTAATATCGAAGATGGTCTGAGGTAATTTTTGCAGAATAAAAATTAATGCTAAGCATAGCTGCCTGTCAAATGCTTTAAACAAAATCAAATTGGATGGCTATTGTAATACTAAGTTAGGTTAGGGGCCAATGTGACACTAAGTATGAAGGATGGCCATCAATGAATTTAACCTGAAAGTATATCAACAAATGCACACTAAGTTCATCAAAATGTGACAGGAACTATTGGAAACTCAAGTTCCAGCAACAAGATACCATTTCCCAGTCAATTCATCCAGTAACTTTATTTAACATAATTAAATTGGGTGGCCAATGTGACACTAAATATAAAGTTGGATGATCAAGATAAAACAAAATCAAATTGGATGGTAAATGTGACACTAACTTGGTCTTTAGTTGATTTAACCCTGTACTTCTTTGATAGTTTGTATATGGTTTGCCGCATCAGATCTCTCCACATTTTGTTGATTAAGTTGCAAGTCTACATAACGTGATTGAGGTCAGTCACATGTTCGACTTTGTGTCCCTGAACCAATGTTTCGGAGTTGCGATTATATTTAGGATCAGTTAAGCTTATAATTCTATCGATCATTATTTTGTCTTGACATGCATGAACAAGTATGGTTGTTACAATTGTCGACAGAGAGGCATTTAAAGTGAGTAGCTACCGGGTCATATAGTAATTATACAACGATACACTCAAATAATACATGCTATTTGTGTGTAGTTCTAAGATGGACCAAATTGAATAGAGAACGAAAATTTTCGAAATTTTCAAATTTGACCTTTTTTTCATTTCTTTCTGATTACAGTAGAGATGTTAACAATTCAATTACTTCAACGTTTTATTGCATTTTCAAAAATTTACGCAATTCTACCGTCATTAAGAAAATAACAAGAGTGAACTTACAGGGTAATTTAAAAAATCCATCAATGCTGTTGTACGGAATTTTTTGGTTTAGTATTGTTGTCAGCTAAAAGTGAAACGTCCGATGTACAATGATTAATCATGCACAGTAACTGTTACTATACCGATAGCAATAATGCTATGACGAAAGAGACTCCTTCCAGAAATGCTACAAGATTTCAAAATTGATGATGTGGCAGAGTTAAAAAATAAAATATTGAATAGTATTTACTTTCCCATTTCTTCTATTCCCGTCCGCCTCTCCCATTTTCTCCCATTTCCGTCCGTCTCTCCCCTTTCCCCCAAATCCACTCACAAAATTGACTTTCCCGTTTCCCCCCAAATCACTCTTCTGCTCGCTGCACTCATCGTCACCGTTGATCGGCACTGACGAAGAGCATATGACTCGAGCATCCTCCATTCACAACCGCATTCACCTCCATCCAAGCGAACAATCTGTGTGTGAACAGTCCTCGACTCTGCACTCACCTCCCTTCACGGTCACACTCTGGCAATAATGTAAGTGTATTTTTTCCGGTTTTGTACAAAATTTTGAAATGTGTCTACCTCTCTTTTTACATTCCTATCTCCTCGAAAATGCCAAAGTAAAAAAAGAAGAAATTTATCATTTTTCTGACCAAATCTTGCTGCATTTATGTGTTTTTAGTGGGTTCGAAGTTTTACTGTGTTTTATAGTTTTCTTGTGGGGCTTGAACTTTGAAGTTTTGGAAACAATATGCAATGATAGTACCTTTGTGAACTTCTCTATGGAATGCCTTATTTTATAAGCAGAATTCTTGGTTATGATTGGTGGTTAATGTCGGTCATCGATATCTTCCTTTATTGCCTTGGTTTTGATTGGTTATTGTCGGCAATCAAATTGGGTAATGTTTTTTGACTTGGATGATGAGGTTTAGGTGGTTGATGTGAGATTTTGTAATTGAATTGCATTAATTATTGTTTATTTGTTTGTTCAGCAGTTATCGACTAGAATGAGAGGAAGGAATTCGGGGTTTTGTCACGGTTGCAGAAGCAACACTCACTACTTTAGACAATACCAAAAAAACGACGATGCCCTTCGTGTAAACAAGGATATCGAAAATGTTTTGAGATCGAATAGAATACTAGTAACAAAGGGCGATTCTTCTTCACTTGAAGTAATTATTGTGGATATTTTGATTGGGTGAAAGAAGAAGTTTTAAGCAGGGAGTCGAGTTCTATTCATGAAGCGGTGAATCATGAGCCCAACGAGGAAGATGAAGAGTTGCCAAGCATCTTTGACAAGCCAGCTCGAATAAGCGAGAAACGAGACGTGGACATATCAATGCACTTGGCTTTTGGCAAGGGAAAATGAATTGTGAAGTGTGATGGGAAAGGAAAGGGTTCGACTTAAACGGATGATTTGAATTTGCTATGTGGATTATTGTCCTTGTACGCTATAAGATGTATGGTTAATCTTGTCAAAATAGTTCCATCGTTTCACATATGATTGTTATTAGGTTCGCTATAATATATGTTATGGTTTCTAGAACTTTATGATATACTTGTTATCGTTTTTGGATTTTCCTTCTTTTCAGCAACGTAGTGGATTTGCTTGTCTTAAATCTTATGTCACTCTGCTGGTGTTTGATATCGTTTCTTGTAGAGGTTTATTATCATGTTTGGAATATGAATATGTTTTAGTTCTAATAATTTTAGGCTAGTGTGAAAATTCTATGACTATTTCAAGCTAATATTTTTCCTCACAAGATTAGATTGATAATCTCCATGCCTTGTGGTTGACGGAGCCCATATGAATAAAGTTATATCTTGTCATTGACAGAGGGAATGAAGCCTGGAATGCAAATTTATTGCTAATATGAACATGAATTGCATATAGTGTAAAATTCCTGTCATTGACAAATGGACTGAATATTGGAATGCAAATCCAGAACATCAATAATCTTGAAAGACCTTGCTAATTCGGATATTACAAAGAATCACGATGTCTATTATTTCTCACAAATTCCAGCTACATAAACTATTCACGTGGAATTTTTGTTGGAATTGAATGACATGTCGGGCCGTGGCATATGCACAAACTTCATGTGGGTCCAACAAGCCTTACATTTGATTCACTTGTTTGGACTCTCTGATTATATCCTCTTCATCATAATTTTTTTGTTTGCAAAAATCCTGTTTATACCTGCAATAATAGAAGCAACGTCACCATCGTTTCTTACAAATGTTAAGATTTCTTATTATTAAGATTATCAACAATAATAGTAAGACATACTATTATGAGGTAAATGGGTCCAAATATACCTTCCATGCTAGAATCACAAGCTTGTGCCATGTTGATTAGGTGAATGTCAATAGTAGTATGGCATGACATGACCTAGGTTATAAGATAAAAGTTAGAATATGCTTAAATGAAATGATCATACATAAATACCTAAGAAACATGATCAATGTATTAACTGTGAGTGTTTAATATATAACATTCGTCAGCAGCAAGGTTTGATTGGCATTGTATCCCTGTACGAAATAACACCATATTTAACACCTTCAACCAAGTAGATGAGTTAACACAATATACTCACCAGTAGGTGTTGTGAATATGATAACGGTGACGGCATAGAATACTGTGGTAGTTGAGATGTCGGATGCTTGATGCTCTCTTGTGTACCACTAGGCCTAGCTCTCGGCTTCTTGCCCTTGTTTGACGCTGAAGTGGCTGCATGTTTAACAATGAAAATCATTATGTGGTTTCAAATTTCCAATACATTAAGTGGGCAGTTGTGAAAAATACCTTCATGTTCTTCGAAGTGGACTCCAATGGGCTTTTTCAGCGAAGTTTCCTTGGCACACCTTTTCGGTTCGACGATATAGGATCTAATATGTTGGAGCTTGTAGTATTTTGTGAATCGTTACAAGTACAGCCCACATTCGTATTATTCTGTGGATGGACAATGCTTTCGATACTCGATCTTGACATCCACATATCTGATGCTTGCAATTTTATCAAGTTTATTATAATACATATTGCCCCTTCGTCATCTGCAAGGAGGTCTGTGACCTTTGAAAAAACATGACACATATCGTCATACCTCAACTGTCCAGGGGTACTCACCAATCCATTGTAATTCATTGCAACCCTCGTGTGCGCTCTACTAATATATCTCCTCCATCTTTTTAGTATGTACTTATTCGGCATTCACGTGATGTTGTTACGGATAAATATTATGATCGCATGCCTACAAATGATTCCTCAAAACTCGAACAAGTGGCAACTACAAATAAATTCACTTGACTCCCTTCGAAATGATATGTAAAATTTTTTCTTCTTTCGATGCTCGTGATAGATGACATGCTCTTGCACATTATAATTCATCCAAAAATAGTCATTGTTTTTTTAGAGATGATGTCACAGTATACCTTCCTAATTAACTCCTGTTGAACTTCTTTGAACTCTGCCACATCATCAATTTTGAAACCTTGTAGCATTTTTGTAATGAGTTCCTGTACCCATAGCATTATTGATATTCAAATATAGATAGTTGTCCACCTCCCAATCTCTGATTTAAGTAATTAATTTTAATAGTTGAATATTTCTATCTGTCTTTTAATTTGTTCACATCCCTGTTCTTCCTTTCTAGACTAATACGAAAGGGTTTTTGGCAATTTTCATTTCTAATCATTCAAAATATTATTGATTTATCCTAAACCTTTTTTTGGCACCAGATAAAACTCTTTGTTCCACTATTTTGGCCACATAAAATGATGAATTATCCATCTCTTTTAATAAATTTACAAAAAGAAAGGGAAAAAAAAAGAGGAAAATTGCAGCAAGAACTAAATCTTTTTAAATGAAAAAAATAAGTAACCGACCCCTTACAACCCCACTTATACCTCCACCACTTGCCTACAACTTTCGAGATCAAAAAATGTACTTACGCACTGACTGTGTGTTGGAATCCGACCGTCGAGGAGAACAAATGGTGCCTAAAAGCTATGGTAGAAATGATAATGGAATATTGAAGGAATCTAGGAAGGAAAATAAAAAAAATATGGAAAACAGACGGAATTGAATAGTAATAGAAGCTATGGTTGTACAGTTGAGAAGGCTACAAGCTTAGTGCGTTCTTTATCTCTATGAAATTCTAAAAACCTTCCTTGTTCTTCCAAAGCCTTGACAACTGTGACAGCACTAAGACGAATAAGTGAGAACAAAATCTAAGTAGTATCATAAGTATGCTCTGCAGTTGTCTCTATGAGGATCCTCTGTATAAAAAAATAGCACTACTGATTATAAGATCCAATATGGAGGTTTGAAAATCTTTGTAATACCAACAGTTAGCACTGCATTGTTGCACAAGAGAGGGTTTGTTGCG